TGCTCATTGCAGCTTTATTCACAATAGCAAAAAGGTGAAAACAACGCAAGCATCAAAAAACAGATAAACAAAATATATGCATAATTAAAATCTATAATCTGATACTACTACATAATAAATAATAATGTTTACGCAGCATTATTCAACCATAGAGAGAAATGAAGTACTGATACATGCTTCCAAATGGTGATCCTTAAAAACATATGCTGAGCCAGACTCAAAAGGCGAACTATTTTATGATGCCACTTGTATGAAATATCTACAATAATAGACAAATGGAGACAGAAGTTTTTTGGTGGTTTCAGGATGGATGGAGAATAACCTGGGATTTATTATTGAAGGTAGAGAGTTTCTGATAAGTAAAGCTTTTACATGGACAGTGGTTTCACAATGATGGCTGCACAATATGATAAATGTAACTAATGTCACTGAATTGCACGTTTTAAAATGGTTAATCTGGGTAACTTTTGTTATACAAATTTTCAAGAACGAATTTTTAAAAACTCATTTCAAAAGTTAAAAATAGTTTAAAAAAACTGAAATGATAAAAAAATTTAAATATACATAGTTAAAAATATGAAAACATGTCAGTATATGAATTATGCCTTAATTCATGCTGTTATATTTTTAAAACATATAATTAAAAGTTTTTAAGATGTAAGAGTTTTAAAAATCAGATTCACTTATTTAACTATGTGAGGGATAATAAGCTCGAAGTTTTTTGGCCTGAAACCCTGAGGTACTTCATAACCAAACTCACTGCCACCAAGTCCATTAGAGCTCACAGCAACCATAGGGCAGTTGATGAGGCTGTAACTCTCTGCAGAGTAGGAAGCCTCCCACTTAACAGTTGTTGCTTTCAAATTGCTGACCTTACAATTAGCAGCCCAACAGGTAACCACTAGGTCACCAAGGGTTCCACCATAACCAAACAACAATGCCAAAATGAGCTAAGACAAGGATGATCCGTGGGTGGTAATTAAATTCAACGCATGCCTTCATGTACACAGATGGAGTCAGAAGCTTCTGCTTTGGTAAAGATGAGGCAGTCTGAGAAAAAAGTGAATTGGGGAGAAAGGCAAAAGGACGTAAATATCACAGAATTTTCTTATAGCTGAGGTACAATCACAGGGATTTTATGTCCAAAGCACAAGCATGCTTCATCTCTTTCTTTCTTGCTCTCTTACTCCATACGCATGGAAATGATTTTGGAGCTCAAAGAACAGAGATCAAACAAAAGCACCAAAGTTTTCCCTAAATTCAGAACGGAAATTGCTGGACAAAGTGAATAGATTAACAGTGATTAAAACCTAAATAAGCTCCCAAAGAGCTCAGACTTCAAAAATTTGAAGAGCAACCGATTTTTTTTTTTACAATTCTTTTTTTCTAATTTTGAAATGTTATTTATTTGTTTGTTTGTTTATTTATTGCCACTCTCACCACTGGTCCTGAAGGGATCATGTGTCCGGGATTTCCTGTGTTTCCAGTTCCTATCTGTACCAGTGTACATCCTCTGGTTTAGCCAGATTTGTAAGGTAGAATTGGGATCATGATAATCAGTGGGGAGGAAGCATTTAGGAACTAGAGGAAAGTTGTATGTTTCATCATTGCTACACTGCACCCTGACTGGCTCATCTCCTCCCCGTGACCCTTCCGTAAGGGGATGTCCAGTTGCTTTGGGTCCCCACTCTGCACTCCCCCTCATTCACACTGATATGATTTTTTTGTTCTGATGACGCCTGCTACCTGATCCCTTCAACACCTCATGATCGCACAGGCTGGTGTGCTTCTTCCATATGGGCTTTGTTGCTTCTGAGCTAGATGACCGCTTGTTTACCTTCAAGCCTTTTAAGACCCCAGATGCTATATCTTTTGATAGTCGAGCACCATCAGCTTTCTTCACATTTGTTTATGCACCCATTTGTCTTCAGCGATCATATCAGGAAGGTGAGTACAAAATGATGATTTTTTGTTCTTTGATACCTGATAACTGATCCCTTCGGCACTTCATAATCACAAAGGCTGGTGTGCTTCTTCCATGTGGGCTTTGTTGTTTCTCAGCTAGATAGCCACTTGTTTACCTTCAAGTCTTTAAGACCCTAGACGCTCTATCTTTTGATAGCCAGGCTCTATCAGCTTTCTTCACTACATTTGCTTATGCACCCGCTTTGTTTTCAGTGATTGTGTCGGGAAGGTGAGCCTCATGGAATGCCATTTTAATAAAACAAAGCATTCTTGCATTAAGGGAGTACTTGAGTGGAGGCCCAATGTCCCCTAGATGGGTTCATATTCTAGCTAATGTACTCATTCATTAAAACGGAGTTTAAAGTTACCCAATTTCCCAGGAAAGCAATCCAAAAGCATTTAACCTTTGGTATCACCCAGGGATTCAAGAGATCTATAGAACAATGTTACTCTGTAACATTGGAGTCACCATGAGTATTGTACAGTTAAGATTATTTATAGCCCTTTTTAAAGTTTAAAACAATCTACAAGGGGGTACTCCCAACAAAACAGAAGTGATATGAGGGTGATAGTGCATTTGGAGTTTGTTCCACTAGGTCAGGCTGTTAATCAAGCTTCCTATTGAGGTTCTGAAAAGACTGCATAACACTGTATGACAAAAAAAACCCTGATTTGTGGCAGAGGGGTCTGCTTTTGCCACACAACAATGCAACAGCTCACACAGCTGTCTCAGTGCACCAACTGTTGGCAAAAACACCATGCCTCACTTGCCCCTCCCCCCTTACTAACCTACCCTTGTTCTGTGCAACTTCTTTTTGTTTCCACAAATGAAGAAGGGCATGAAAGGACAGAGATTTGATGACTTAGAAAAGGAGAAAAAAGCAACAACAAAAAAATGAGGAAAGTGCTCTCAGCTATATCCACACAGATGAGTTTGAAAAATGTTCCTCAGAGGAAATGCACTGTTTGGTTTTTGCACATTCCTAAATAGCCATTGAAATGTATATTCTTAATAGATCCCAAAATAATAAACCTTAAGTTTATGTTCTCACTTAGCCATCTTCTCTTCAGAAAGGTCTTCTCTTTTTCCTCTATGGAAAAAGTTTGAAAGCAATGGTCTTCTCTTTTTAAACTAAGTCCAAACTATGAAAATATTTTAAAATAACATTTTTACTAGTGTAAACAAGTCATAGCAACACTGAAAAGCTTGTAGCATATTATTAAGCAGATCTTGTTACCAAATGTTTTTACTGTTAAACAACAAAGTATCTTTACTACTCTTGGTGTAGTTTGTTTATTGAGTTAAGTTAATGCCAATCATCTTGTCCTTGAAAAATGAACATTAATGTAGAGGAAAAGCTTGAAGATAGGAAATTTTTGAAAGGGAAAAAAAGGTCAACTATATTTTAATTTACATATGCAAATGGTTATTCCATACTTTGTTTGTAAGCATATATACTTCTCTGCTGAACAGTTAACGTTTGGCTTCACATTGAATTTGGGACTATGAAGGATTAATTACATATTATTTTAACATTAAAAAATAACGAGTGACAAGTCTAATACAGTATAGTCTCAGACACATAAAATTTTGCATATATACTCTGCAAAGGTTAAGTTTTAATTAAATACACTCTGTAAAAAACTCCAACTGAAAGTCTAATTTGATGGATAAAATGGTACTTAAAACTTTACGGTGACAAGTTTTTTTGATGACTAATCCTTGATTGCTTTGCCTACGGGAAGAGTTGCTTGTTGAGAGCTTTCGGTATTGAAAGTAAAAGGGAATTCCTGCTGTTTTCATATTGTCTTTTGGACACATGCTTATTTTCTTTGGAATATGGACCTTCAGTCTGTGAAAACTGTACTTTCGTCCTGTCCCGTTCATGGTGTGCCAGTCTGCATGTGCGGTCAGCTTGTGTGTAACTGACAAAAAGTGGGAAATGCTACTTTGTTCATAATAAATACATATTTTTCATAAAAAAAGAAAAATGTTTCCAAGAATGGAATTGCAGATTTGACAAATGTATTAAGTGTAATGGAAAGGACTTTGAAGGTGATAAGGTTGTTTTGTAAAAAAATTAAATACATAGCTTTGTGAAAAAAATTCTGTTTTGGGGGGTGGGGTACCCCCTTGTATATCCAACTATATCTGCTGCCACCAGGGTGATTTTGCCTCATAGTAACCCTAGATAGGGTTTCCGAGGCTGTAAATAGTTTCAGGAGCGTTATCTTCCTCTTGTGGAGCAAGTGGTGGGTGTTAGCCACTAACCTTGCCCTTAGAAGTAACAAGTTTACGAACAGCGCAACTCTGGCTCCTTATAACTATCTATAGGCAAATACATTTTTGAATAATCATGAAAATTATGTGGACCACAGAGTGGAAACATGCTTTGAGTATTCCTGCCATAGAGCTAGAAAATCACATTGTTTTAGTCAGCAACTGAATTTCCTGGAAGATGTAAGAATACTGCTGTAAGAACATTAAGTGAAAGGTTCAGGCTCCTTAGATTTAATCATAGACTCTAAGAATCCAATAAACATTAGACTCTTTCCTGTACTCTATTAAAGGAAATAATTGCAAATTCTATGAAAACTACACAAGTGTAAATGATTTTATAATGTAATAACATGGGTGAAGCTAATTCACTTGGAGAGTAGTTTGGATTTAAAGATCTTATTTTAAAGTTTTTAAGAAGTATTTTCTGGATTGTGATAAGAGTTGTATGAGCCCCTAATAAAATGATTAAGAAAAAAAAAAGAGTTTATGAGCCCCTAATAAAATGATTAAAAAAAAAAAAGAAGTATTTCCCCTTTCCACTCCCTCGGATGGTGGAAAATGCAAAGTTGGCAGATTAGACTTTCAAATAAGGATGCAACTATAACTCAAATAAATAAAATAAAAATAAAAGTATTTCCCCTTTATTTTCATATTTAATTTCCATTCCCTTATTGTACAGATCTCAGATTCATGAAATTTGACCACTGAACGAAACAAAACGAAGAGTAGAAAGAAAAGAAAGGGAGTGGCCCACCTGAAGCCTCGCTAGTTGTGCAGTACGGGCGACTATTTTGTTGTAGGGCTCAACAACTTTTGCTTTCATCCTAAAAGGAAGGGGAAAAAAGTACAGATAAAATAAAATCCATTTTAAAACAGTCCTGAATGAAACGCTTTCCATCTATTTATTTACAAAACGAAGAATATTACCTGTCAACTGCTCCCTGCAGAGCCCCAATTCTTGTCTGCATCATCTGGAGAACACCTGGGAAAACAGAGCCATCGACATGAGCTTTTACAAACCGACGAGGACGACTCAGGCTGAGGAAAAATGAAATCAAAGAAATGCACACAGGGCTTCAAAAGTTCACAAGAAAATGTTCTTTTTTATTTTTTAATTTACTTTCTTTTGATTCTATTTTTCGAAACTTTCTGAAGTTCTCATATAGTTTTATTTTTTCTGCTATCATGCCAATCCAAGCAGCAGTATCTCTTTGCTGTATTATGGCAAAAACCTCTAATTGGTCTTCCCCTCTAACCCATGAGCGAAATGGGGAGTGGCATCCCAACGGGTTTGGTATAACTAAAAGTTCGGGAACTACATAGTGGTGATGCTTGCACAACACTGCAGTAAATGTATTTAATCCCACTGAAAGTATGCCTTAAAATTAATAGTTTTTATGTTATGTATATTATTCCACAACTAAAATAAGTATAGAAAAGATGAGATGAAATAGAAGTTAGAGATAATATTCAACACATTCAATATATATCCTACTTACTTTTCAGCATCTCAAAATAACATATTAATTACATTTTAGGAAAATGTATGTACCATGCTAAAATGAATCCTAACCAATTCATGCTTTTAATCTTTCATGTTCAAATAATCTGAAGAAAAATGTGAGATTATCAAACGAATCAGAGAAGCCAATCTCTGTGCTCTGTACCCTCAACAATGGACAGCCATTCCGACTCATTATAACAGCATATTTTAAATGCTGCCCTTTGAAGAACATTCGGGAGAAACAAGCTGCCTCTGGGACTGAAGTGCACATATAAAAGAAGCATAATGACAAGTATCTCTGTTGTGGGGACTACTCCACACCTTTTCATGCTCTAAATCAAGGTACTGCCATGGCACCCTTCCACGTTTCAAAGTAAAAAATGTCTCATGTGTTTCAAAACCTATTAGTTATTTTCTCACAGAAACCTAGAAAACTATTATGAGAAAAAAGCATAATTAATTCCCAAAACTAAACCAGTCAGTACTTACATACTCTTAATTTCCCCAAGAACATCGGCTAATATCTATCCCTCATGTTGAAACAACATTCAAACCCAGTATTTCTCAAACTATGAAGAGCCTTAGCAGTTCCAATATACTTAAGAAATCAGTAGGCTAATACCTTTGAGTTCATGAGAAATATTAGGGGAAACATTACAGAATATTGCCTCACAGAAAATAATATCTTCTCTCTTTGAGAATCTCATAAGCATAGGAAAAAAGTATTTCATTTTGTTTTGATGTGCAATGATTAATAAGAGTAATCACACCACAGTAATGTAAAACACAATAGTAGTTCATTATATTATGAGATGAAGTTTAATTTTATCAAGAGAGAACGGAAAAAACATAAAAGAATGAAGTCAACAAAAATAAAAAAGATTCATAAAAATAAAAATCTATAGTGCAATTCTACTTTCACTGAAGAGTTACAAAGACAGACTCCAAGAAAAGTAAAAATAAGGAAGAACGCAACCTAATTTCTACAAACATATTTACTGATTTTGTTGTTTGCAGTCACATTTATAGGAGCACTAAGTTAGTGCCAGGCACTGTTCTCAGTGTTTTACTAACTGATTTATTCCTCAGAATAATGCAATGTCGGTACATACTAAGACCTTGGTTTCCCAGAGAGAAAATTGAGGCTCAGAAAGGTTAAGTAACTTACCCAAAGACACACAGTAAGTAGCAGAGCAAGGATTTGAACCCAGACGGTTTAGATCAGGGACCAGCAAAGTGTGACCTGCTGCCTTCATTATTATAGTTTTTTCTGGAATATAGCCACATTCATTCATTGACATATTTTCTGGCTGGGCTCACCCTTCAGGTCTTAACATGAACTCATCCCCATGTTAAAATAGCCAACCATTTAACATTAAAAAGGTAGCACTGAGCCAAAGAAAAAGTACAGAGGGCTGGGAAAGAGGAAGGGTGGAAACAGAAAACATAGGGAGAGAGTAGGATGAGTGATGGGGACTGAAAAGCTTGAGCTCAAACAAAGTGCATGAACTGCTGCGTTTAAAATGATGGTCTGCTCCGTGAATTTACAATGAAAAGTAAAAAAAAAAGGAAGTTTTACTAGAATATAGCCACACTCCTTTATGTACTGTCTGGTTATATGCTCTACAGTGGTAGAGCCGAGTGGCTGCAACAAGGACGATAAGACTCAAGGTCTAAAATCTTTACCATCTGATCCTTATTAGAAAAACATTTGCCGTTCCTGGCATGGATCTAAATAATCTGTAATAATAATAATTTCACCGTCATTGAGTTGCTTCTGGCTTATAGAGGTGAACTTCAGACAGAATAGAACTGTCCCTGTGGGTTTCTGAGACTGTATCTCTTTACGGAAGTAAAAATCCTCATCTTTTGCCTGTGGAGCGGTGGGCAGTTTCCAACTCAGCAGCTGGTAGCCCAAGAGGCAACCCACTAAGCCACCAGGGCTCCTTTAAAGAATCTATAGTAGTTAAGAAAAATATACCTTCCAAAGACTCAATTCCAGTTGCTTGTGCCAGTAAGTCTTCATGTCTTGTAACAACCTGAAACATCAAGATGAAAAATCAACATTCTCTCTAATTAAGCAGTAGGTATTTTTTCTCCATGACCGCAGTATAGAACTGAAGCCCTTTCCCTTGTATCTAAGGGAGGAAATGCTAAACAAAAGGCAGGGGGGTGGGGGGGAAGCACAGGTTATAAAGTTGTACTGGATATGAATTATTAGCGGCAATCTACATGCAATTTATAGTATACGCTTTATCTAGCTAAGAAGACAAGAGTATAGTGAAAATGAGACAGCAACACAGAGCAGGAGAAGATAGTCTCCTCCCTAATGACCACCTTTCCTAATAGGATTTTCAGGATCGTCTGGGTAGAGTTACACCAAAAATTTTTAAGTGGCTGATTCATGCCACCTTATTGTATTACTCACCATACAAGAAGAATTTGCACTAACAATATATATGCTTTCTCTTTAAAGAATGCTTTCAAACATCAGCTTCTCTTAGTTCTGAAACGGAATTGAGTACTATCAAGGCCACATACTAATATGAACATTTCTCTATCTGAACATCTTTTTGCTGCCAGTTGTCACGTTAGGTGCTGTTAAGTGGGCTGTGACTCATGTCGAGCTTACGTACAACAGAATGAAGCCCTGCCTTCATCTGTGCCATCCTCATAATTGTCATAGGTCCTCATAGTATCATCGAGGGTCCTTTTCCCGGTAGAAGAATGGCCAAAACAAAAATTCAGAGTTAAGAATTAAAGTCACTGACAAGAAATTCTTGAGACAATATAAAACGCTGTAAATCTTCAGCATAACCTAAGAATCCTTGTTTTGTACCCTCTAGCCCAATGAATAAGGAGCTTCATGTCTAACCTGCTCACTGAAGTTACAAATCAATAGGGGTGAATTCACCAGAAGCTGTGCAGATTCCTTTTGGTCCTCACAAACACTCTCTCCGTCATCATAAACTAAATAACAGTCTAAAACAGTGGTCAGCAAACTGTGGCTCTTGAGCCATAGGGGCTTTTTCATTTTATACAAGAGGCTCTGAAGTAAAATTGGAAAATGTTAATGGATATCATTCAGGTAACGGTGATTTCATTTGTTGGAAAAAATGTATTTATGGCTCTCAAATAGTTTTTAAATTGGGGTGAGGGACAAGATTGGCTCTTTGGTCTCAAAAGTTTGCCGAACCCTGGAAAACAGTGTCTTCTAACGCTTTCATCCTTCAGGTTTTCAGATTCCTATATTTTGACTAATTTATTATTCATATGGTCATCAGTGTATCCATATTAACAAGAATATCCCCCTTTAACTCTCTATTCCTTTTCCCTCTTAGCAGTAATACTTTGGAAAGGTTTGAAAGTCTAAACTGCACTTGCATGGACTCACATGCCAACAATTAGATAGATTCTCAAGTTATTTATAAGACAGATAAAGGATAAAAGTGATTTTCCTATTACTGTTGCAGCTGAGGGAGAACCTGGTAATATAGCAGTTACACATTGGGCTGTGATCTGCAAGGTTAGCAGTTCGAAACCACCAACCTTTCCAAGAGAGAAAGACAGGGCTTCCCACCCCCATAAAGAGTTAGTCTCGGAAAACTCACAGGGGCAGTTCTACCTTGTCCAAAGCATCACGAGATGAGTCAATGGGTTAGGTGATGGCCATACAGATCACTCATGGCTAGTTACCAGATACCGAGAGCAGAATTTTAACACTGACATGGAAGGAGATACCAGGAGCTTCCTGGACCCCAGGTTTCATCTATAGTACTTCTTTCAACTCATTCACCCGTTGACTGTCCACTCATTATTTTCACAAGTATTTAACTCATTGTATTACATATCTTCTTACTTTAAATACTAGAATGTTTTCTGCTTCCTGTATAGAGGCCTATACAGACCTCAGTAAGTCTTTTGCAACTTTGTCTTAGTGATATTCTTAAATTAGCGTATATACTCAAGTATAAGCCAACCTGAATATCAGCCAAGGCAACTAATTTTACCACAAAAACTGCATTAAAAATGTGCTTATACACAAGTATATACAGTATGTTTATTATATTCCAGTTCTGGAACTAGTTAGCATTATCTTACCTTTCCTTTGGCAGAACACAAATGATAGCAGGTTCATATTTGAAATTAGGATTCAGTGACTTTTTCTACCTCAATCTCAAGGCTACTATAAATATAGCCTATTCCCTCTAATGATGTTCAATAATTGTTAAATTCTTCATCACATTTTTTTTAATTTGGTAAGTATATATAACATTTGCCATTTCAACCCTTTTGACATGTACAATCCAAAATAATTATATTCACCATACTGTACAACTATTACCATTACCAGTTTCAAATCTTTTTTTTTCTTTATACCAGAGACCCAGTATCCATCAGCAACAACGCTTGCTTCCTCCCTCTCACTGGCCCCTGGTACTCACTAGCAAACCTGAGCTCTACGCATTTGCTATAATAGACTATGCACTGAGCTGCTAATCACAAGGTCAGTGGTTCAAACTCACCAGCTGCTCCAACGGCGAAAGCTGAGTCTGTGTACTCCTGTAACGATTTAAAGTCTATGCACTGTGAGTCAGAATTGACTCAATGGCAGTGAGCTTTTGAATATAAGCATATGCATTTGCCTATTGAGATAAATGGGATAATATGTCTTTTTGTGTCTGACACAGACTTGTCTTCTAACTCTGTGTTCTACCCATCAAAATAATTATCCACACTGTACTTGCATAGCAAATGCTGCAATGTGTCCTCATTAGTTATGAACTACCAAGCTGAATATCCCAATTTTTCTTATTTACACTATCCCAACTCCAAAATTGATTTTCTATTTTCTTTATCAAGCACAATTTCTTTTCTGTCCACTATATCCTCTAATTATCAGTTAAAATTGTACAAGAGAAGTATGAATATAAGATTTTGAGAATGTGGGTATACTAGTTTTTCAACCAAGAAAAGTAGTTCACAAAAAATATTTTTTAAAGAATTCTCAGAAAATTTTGTAACATGGTGATGTGTGGATTTGTTCATGTAGATATGCACTCAGATTAAACTAGGATTAAATGATAATCATAGTATTACTTTAGGTGGAATTATCTGTATGATCTCAAAGACTGGAATTACCTGTAGGTGTAGTTCTTTATCCAGCTGACTGATTCCTTGGGCAAGTTTTGCTAGTTGTTCAGCAATTACAGCTTGATGAATAGATTGGGAAGTATAAGTCTTTACATCAAAATCTTCATTTAAAAAGTCACTGTAACACTCTGGAGGGACAAAAATTAAGGGGAAGACCTTAATTAAACTTCTAAACCACAGATAATAAATGATAAAACAATTGTAACCTTAGCTAACATTCTTACTTTTAAGTCTACTTATAAATGCTAGGAACTGTTGTCAATGCTTCCTGTAATAATGAGAAGGAAAAGAATGAAGTGTTAGCAGAAAAGAAGTGGTAGTATTCACTAACGAGGTTCGATGTGCAGAGACTGATCTAAGCAATTTACGCATACTAACGCCTTCAACCCTCTCAAGAACCCTGATGGAACTGCCCTTTCACAGAAGAGGAAATAGGCATCCACAGGTCACACACAATCTGGAAGTTGAATGGAGGCAGTATTACTGCAAAGGCAACATTTTCAACCACTATGCTATACTGCTAACTTTTTCTCAGTGAGCCAGAAAGAAGAAAAACATTGAGTAGTAGAAGATGAGCAGAGAAAATATTACTTGGATCAACCATCGATATCCATAGAAGTAATTAAGTCAAAAATTTGTTTTAATGTACTGCACTGGAGAAATCTGCTGCAACAAATCCTTCAAAGTGTTAAATAGCAGAGATGTTGCCTTGAAAACTGAGGTATGTTTGACCCAACCCTTAGTATTTTCTTTTCTTTTTTTTTTATCATTTTATTAGGGGCTCATACAACTCTTATCATAATCCATACACACATCAATTGTGTAAAGCTCATTTGTACATTCATTGCCCTCATCATTCTCAAAACACTTCCTCTCCACTTAAGCCCCTGGCATCAGCTCCTCATTTTTTTCCCCTCCCTCCCGGCTCCCCCCTCCCTCATGAGCCCTTGATAATTTATAAAGTATTATTTTGTCATATCTTGCCCTGTCCACATCTCCCTTCACCCACTTTCTGTTGTCCGACCCCCAGGGAGGAGGTCACATATAGTTCCTTGTAATCGGTTCCCTCTTTCCAACCCACTCTCCCTCTACCCTCCCAGTATCACCACTCACTCCACTGGTCCTGAAGGGATCATCTGCCCTGGATTCCCTGTTTCCAGTTGCTATCTGTACCAGTGTACATCCTCTGGTCTTAGCCAGACTTACAAGGTAGAATTGGGATCATGATAGTGGGGGGAGGAGAAGGAGGGAGAACTAATCATAATCTTTACCCAAGAAAAGAAGGTACTTTCCAAGGAAAATACAACAGGAAGATAAACTAGATGCAATATTTATGGCCTCAAATCTCTACACATCAATTCACAAAAACTATAAGTTAAGTGAATTTTGAATTTTTTATAAAAACACATACAAACATGTATATTGCTGAAACTTATGACCAATGGATAAAATAAGAGTGTAAAGAGAAATGACCCATAACAGACAGGGCAGCGGGGAGAGGAGTGATGCTAGACATTGAAATTGTCTTTCTACACAGAAATCCACAAATCTGTAGATTAAAGAAAATGGAGAGATTTAAATAAAGCCCCCAATAAAATAATTTAAAATAAAAAAATATTTAAATGAAAATTAATATCCACAAATATGTTCATCTTATAACCATGTTACAGTTAGGAGAGGGTTCCAATGTGCAATAAAAGAAAATGCTGAGGGCAATGAATGTACAAATGCGCTTTACACAATTGATGTGTGTATGGATTGTGATAAGAATTGTATGAGCCCCTAATAAAATGATTTTAAAAAACCCAAAACACAAAATGCTATCCACTTATGGTACTTAGACAATTTTAAGTCAACTTAAATTTTTATGAAAGTGTAGAAGTGGGTTCCAACCTGTCAATCAGGTCACAGCCTGATGATGCCTCATTGGAGTGTAGCCTTATTTTAAGAAACTGGACTTTCTTCCCTCTGTCCAGCTGCCCTCTCGGCCTCTGCCTGCTGGAACTCTGCCTCCAGGAACTCTCTCCCTCCAGGGGTGGTCCCAGTGGGCTGCAGGACCGAGAGCTATTTTTGTCCTGCCGTGTTTCCACCAACTTTGGATCTATGCAACTCTGTACCCACCAGCACTGCTGTGGCCTTCTTGCATCCGGCTCCACCATTGTGTGTCACCAGCATGCAGCTACGTGGGTCTAAAGTGGGACTTATATACCAGCAATGGACTATGGACTTGTGTAGAACTGGGTTGGGATGCCTTCTTGTTATATAATTACTTTTTATATAAAGCTCTTTCTTATACAGAGATGAGTGTTACTGTGTTTGTTTCTCTAGACAGCCCAACCTAACACGCCAATCCTGCACCATCCTCACAACTGTTGTTATGTTTGAGCCCATTGTTGCAGCCAAAATGTGAATCCATCTCAGGACTCTTTCTCTTTCATGCCCATCTCTATTTTACCAAGTATCCTGTCCTTCACCATGTCCTGGTCACTCCTGGTGTCCTAATTACATAAGAAGTCTCACTATCCTCCTTTCTTTTTTTTTTTAATCATTTTATTAGGGGCTCATACAACTCTTATGACAATCCATACACACATCAATTGTGTAAAGCGCATTTGTACATTCATTGCCCTCATCATTCTCAAAGCATTTCCTTTCCACTTAAGCCCCCGGCATTAGGTCCTCATTTTTCCCCTCCCTCCCTGCTCCCCCCTCCCTCATGAGCCCTTGATAATTTATAAATTGTTATTTTGTCGTATCTTGCCCTGTCCGACGTCTCCCTTCACCCACTTTTCTGTTGTCCATCCCCCAGGGAGGAGGTCACATATAGTTCCTTGTAATCGGTTCCCTCTTTCCTACCCACTCTCCCTCTACCCTCCCTGTATCGCCACTCACACCACTGGTCCTGTAGGGCTTATCCACCCTGGATTCCCCGGATTTCCAGTTCCTATCTGTACCAGTGTACATCCTCTGGTCTAACCAGACTTGCAAGGTAGAATTCGTGTCTTGATAGTGGGAGCGGGGAGGAAACATTTAGGAACTAGAGGAAAGTTGTATTTTTCATCGTTGCTACATCGCACCCTGACTGGCTCGTCTCCTCCCAGACTATCCTCCTTTCTAAGGAGCGCTGCACCTGTGCTCTTTCTAAGACAGATTTATTTGTTCTTCTGGCAATCCACAGTGCATTCAATATTCTTCTCCTACACCATCTTCCATATGAGGTCAAGCACAATTTCGATCTCAAAGTGGCATCTTTCCTTTTTAACATTTTAAGGGGTCTTTTGCAATGATTGATACTTTCACAGACATTGATCATGAATTGAAGTAAGATGAAACTCTTCACAACTTCAATATTTTCTCCATTTATCATGATGTTGTTCAATGGACCAGCTATGAGGATTTCTGTTTTCTTTATTTAAGATATAATTCATACTGAAGGCAATAGTCTGTGATCTTCATCAGTAAGTATACCAAGTCTTTCTCACATTCAGGACATAAAGTGATAATCATATGCATAATGCAGGTGGGTAACGAGTCTTCCTCCAGTCTAGAGGCCATGTTCTTTTCACAGCCTCTAGCTTCCCAAAGTATTTGCTCGGTATACAGGATGGTGAAAGGATGCAATTCTGCTGCGCATCTTTCCTGTTTTTAAACTGCACACAATTATCTCGTTCTGCTTGAACAATTTTCTCTCATGAGCACAATTGAGTGTTCTGGAATTTTCTTTCTTTCTTTTTTTTTGCTGTTACCTATAATTTTTTATGATCCACACAGATGAATGTCTTTGCATTATCACCAAAACACTGGTAAACATATTTTTTAAATTGTCTGCTTTCCGCTAAGATCTATTAACTTCGGCAGCGATATCCTTCATCCGCATCCTCTTGAATTTCTTCCTCTTCTCTGTTGACACATCACAGTTGTTTTTGAAATATCTTTAGCAAAGTTTAACTTGCATGTGAGACTAGGATATCTTTCAATACTTTCTGCATTGCATCACCTTTCTTTGGAAAGGGCACAACTATGGATCTTTTCCAATCAGTTGGCCAAGTAGCTGCCTTCCAAATTTGTTGGCATTGACAAATGAGTGCTTCTAGCATTTAGTTGAGACATTTTAATTGAAATTCCATCAATTCTTAGAATTTTGTTTTTATCAATGCCTTCAAGTGCAGTCTGGACTTCCTCCTTCAACGCCATTTGTTTCGGATCACATGCTGCCACCTGAAATGGTTGCACACTGACCAATTATTTTTGTACAGTGACTCTGTGCATCCCTTCCCTCTTCTTTTGATGCTTCCTGAGTCATTCAATAATTTGCCCACAGAACTCATCAATATTGCAATTTATTGGCTTTTTCTCTTCAGTTATTTCAGCTTAATATATTCCGAGCATGTTCTTCTTTTTCGGTTTTCTAACTCAGGTCTTTGCATGCTTCTTTATAATACTTTGACTTCTTGTACTTCCTTTTGAAATCTGTTCATCTCTGTTATTTCATTTCTTTACTCTTGTTAGCTAATCTATGATCAAGAGCAAGTTTCAAAGTCTTTTCTAATATCTATTTTGTGTTGTTCTTCTTTCCTGTCTTTTCAGTGGCTTTTTGCTTCTTTCACGTATGATACACTAGATTTCACACAACAAATAATTTAGTCTTCAGTCATTAGTGTTCAAAACTATTCTTGAATAGTCTCTAAATTCAGACAGGATATATGCAAAGGTCCACTTTGGCGCTCATGGACTCATTATCGTCAGTTTCAGCATGAACTTATTAGGAGCAGTTGCTGGGCTGTTCCACAGTAAGCCTATGGCCTTGTTCTGACTGATGGTATCGAACTTCCCCGTCATCTCTTTGGAGTTTCTCTATTCTTTCTCTCCACATATGTAGCTTATTCAAATCTATATATTCCATATAGCCAAGTGTATGCATATACTCACAACCGTCACATCAATTCTGAGTTATAGTGGCTCGACATGAGGTTTCCAAGGCTATAAATCTTTACAGAAGCAGTCTACCTCATATTTCTCCTGTTGGGTTGAACTGCTCACCTCGAGGATAGTGGTCCATTGCTTACCAGGGCTTCTGTCTATGTATATAGTTGCCATTTAGACTGTTGAAAAGGTATTTCCTATCATT